ACGAGGTCATGGAGCATCAGCGCCAGCGGTTCTACGGCTTGCGCCAGCGCATCCTCGAAGGGCGTCAGGTCAAGGAGCTCATCTTTGAGTACATCGAGGACGTCGTGGATGACGCGATCGAGGAGTACCTGGATGATGATTACGCCGCGACCTGTGCGGCGGATTACGCACGCGAGCAGCTCGATTGCTCGATCCTCCCTGAACGACTCAAGGGCAAGGACGCGGACGAGATGGACATCGCGATCCGTCGTCTTGCGAAGGAGGACGTGACGGCCAACATCATCATGACCCTCGGCGAGTACATGCCGATGGAGGGGTCGGAGGTGTCGATCGACTTCGACTCAGCGGGTCTGCACCGCTGGGCGAAGAACCGCTTCAACATCGATATCGATACCGGCGAGCTCCGCGAGGGTGGTGCGGGACAGCGCCGAGAGGTTCAGGAGATGCTCGAAGTGGCGGCGTTTGCGAAGATCGACGCTGAGCCTTTGGAGAAGATCCCGAGCTTTGCTGATCCACGCTACGGCGCCGAGAAGCTCTCGGAATGGGTGAAGGGGAAGTTTACGAAAGAGATCGATCCCGATCAGATCATGAAGTACGACGCAGACGATGAACTGCGTGTGCGTGATCTGATCATCGAGACCGCTCGGGAGCTGTATGAGAAGCGCGAAGCTGAGTTCCCGGCAGACTTCATCATGCAACGTGTGATGATGCTGGCGCGTCAAGATCCAACTGGTGCATTCGAAACACTCGGGAAGTGGGCGCGTGATCGGTTCGGCATGGAACTCACTCCGGAAGAGATCAAGACCACTCCACCTGCGAAGATCCGTGAACGGATCATCGAAGCTTCACGCAAAGCGATGGAAGACGATGACCTCTCCGTCATGGTCGAGAAAGCAATGGCAACATCAAGTGATGATGAGCTCGATGAGCTGCTCACGCAGCGCTACGGCGAGGGTATCACTGAGCGGATGCGCTATCTCGACGAGAACGAGCGCGAGCCGGCGATCCGTGCTCGTGTGGAAACACTCTCGCGTCCTGAGCTTGTGCAGTTCGAGCAGATGGTTCTGATCGAGACTTTGGATACTTCGTGGAAGGATCACTTGTACTCGATGGATCAGCTGCGTGACACCATCGGATTCCGTGCGATCGCGCAGACCGATCCGAAGATTGAGTACAAGCGTGAAGGTCAACGGATGTTCAAGGGCATGATGCGTGAGATCCGCGAGAAGGTCACTGGGTACATCTTTAGAGCACGGATTGCGGCACCACCGCCTCGTCCGGTGGCGCAAGCTCCTCGTCAAGCACCTGCTCAGCAAGCACCTCGACCACAGCAGCAACGACCACAAGGACAAGGTTTCGCGACTGGGAACATCGTCGGGTCATCAATTGTGGGTCCAGGATTCTCAGGTGGTCAGATGCTGGAGCCGCCGAAGCCGAAACCAGCACCTGCTCCCAAGGCAGCTCCAGAGTCGGATTCGACGAGCGAATCGGACGAATCCAGCAGTTGAGTCGCGTTGAGAGCCGCTCAAGTGGGTTTTGGACGCATTTGTGAGGGATCCGAACGGATGGATCCTTCGTATATGATGCAGGAACCAATGCTGTGCATATCGTGTGTGAACACTGCACGGCGACCTTGTTCCCGAGCTCTCTCGCACCGGAGTTCTGCATGATGCAACAACACGCTTTGTCTCACTCAAGACGTCCGTTCGGATTCACACTTATTGAACTGACGATGGTGGTCTCGATCATCGCGTTGCTCGCCGCGATTACGATCGGGATTGGTGCGTCCATGGCCGACAGCGGACGCAAGCGTGCGACAGAAGGTGTGCTTCAGGCATTGGATCAGGCGCTCGATGATTACATCAACACAACAGGTGGGATTCCTCCGGCGCTGGTTCGGATCTCGAGCGAGAATCTGAATGATGAAGTCGAGGACATCGTGGGATCTGACAACGATGCGTTCTATCCAGCGATCGACGGTGTCCTCAACGAGATCATCCCGAACTCCGATCCGAATGCACCTGAGCGTCATTATGTGGTGAACTCTGTCGGGCTCTTTCTCGCATCAGCAGAAGGTGGCATTGATGTCGAGAGTCTCCTCAATACGCTCGATAGTCGTTTTGTGCGTTTGTATGATGCGGACGGTGATCTGCAGCCTGAACTCCAGACTGTCTTTGATGCGTGGGGAAATCCGATCCGATATGTGCATCCGAAGTTTGATGGTGTGATCGAGGATTCCACTGGACAGGGTGATCGTCGGCAGCTCGGCGATGCTGGTGACTTTCTCGATGTCTTCGAAACAGACGCGACGGGTGGGGGATTGTTCTTCACAAGAACAAGTCTTCCAGTAAATGCTTCTCAGATCCCATTCCGTGAAGTCCGACGGAACAAGATTCTCGAAATCGACCAGATCGAAGCACAAACGACTGGTGGAGATTATCCCGTCGAGGGTGATTCAGATGGAGGGATCTGCCCAACTCAACGGCCGTACTTCTATTCCTGTGGTCCCGATGGTGATCCATCCACTGTTGATGACAATATCTACACCGTTGTGCCGGACTTTATCAATCCGTTCTAATCGAAGTATTTCATGAAACTCGAAAAAGAAAATGCCCCTTGTATGACAGGGGCATTCTTGATTGCGTTTGTTCAACGGAGCGATTAGCGGCGACGGCGAGTCGCGGACAATCCACCCAATCCGAGAAGCAGTGCTGAAGCTGGTGCTGGGACTTGTGTGAGCGAGACATCATCAACAGAGAGTCCGTTGGCGATGTTTTCAACAGCGCCTGCGGAGATCTGGAAGCGGAGGAGGAACGAGTCAGCTCCGGCCGCAGCGACGAGACCGTTCATTGTGAACTGCTGGTAGCTTTCATTGATACCCAGTCCGATGAGTGAGGTCAGCATTTCGCCGCGGACCCCGCCGCCGTCGCTACCGTCTTGATCGAGCCAAAGGATTTGAACAAAGGTGTCCATCCCTACGAAGTCTGTTGAGTCGACTTTGGCATGGAAGGCGAGGTCGTAGAGTTCTCCAGCAACGATGCTTCCGACTGGTTGGTTCTGCTCCATGAAGTATGCAGCGCCTGCGGGATCATTGTTGACATGGTCAAACGCCATGTACGCGGCCCAGCCGCCGCTGTTTGGCATCGCATCGCTCCGGCCTATGAATCCGGCAGGACCACTGAATTCACCCCAGTTGTCCGCGTCGGCGCCGGAACCGGCTTCAAAGCCGCCGTTCATGATCACATTGGCTGATGCGGTAACGGTGACTCCAAACACTGATAGAGCGGCAATCGCGGTAATCTTAGTTGTGTGCATTTTGTTCCTCTCATTCTCACTGAACCAGTGATTGTGAAGGCTGTTCGAGGACGCCTCGAGAGCTTTGATCGGTGTGGTTCAGGGCGCCGATCCGAAATTAATGTAACAGTTACATAGTTTGCGGTAAATAAAATTCGCTGAGAAAGCTAAAAAATAGAGATAAACCTGTCTCAATGAGACAGTTTCGTCATTTGGAGACCAAAAACAACGATCAGGTGCGTCTCAAGCGTTCGCGTGAGCGATCTGCTCGAACTTGGCGGTAAAGTGCCTCAGTGCCGGTGGCTCCTCGGTGATGCGGTAGCCGACAAGCTCGGATGCTCGGTTTTTGAGGTCGAGGATGACCTCGATGACATAATCGATGTGGGATTGGGTGTATGTCCGGCGCGGGATCGCAAGGCGGACGAGCTCCATGTGCGCGTGCTCACCCATCATCACCGATCCGATCTCGCAACTGCGGATGCCTCCGGATTCATACAGAGCGCACGCGAGGGCTTGTCCTGGGAACTGCTCCTTTGGGATGTGGGGGCAGAAGTCCGCGGCGTCGATGTAGATCGCGTGACCACCTGCGGGACGCACGATGCTGATCCCGGCTTCGAGGAGTTTCTCTCCGAGGTACTCGGTCGAGCGGATGCGGTAGCGGAGGTAGTCCTCGCAGAGCACCTCGCGGAATCCGACGGCCATCGCTTCGAGGTCGCGTCCGGAGAGTCCGCCGTAGGTCATGAACCCCTCGGTGAGAATCAGCAGGTTGCTCGCGGCGATGAACTGCTCCGGATCACGGATGAGCAGGACACCACCGATGTTGACCATGCCGTCTTTCTTGGCGCTGATGGTCGCGCCGTCACAGAGGTCGAACTGATCGCGGCAGATGTCTTCAACGGCGCGGTCCTGCTGACCAGGCTCGCGCTGCTTGATGAACCACGCGTTCTCGGCGAAGCGGCACGCGTCGAGGATGAACGGCTTGTTGTACTTGTCGCACAATGCACGCACGGCACGCATGTTTTCGAGGGAGACGGGCTGGCCGCCGATCGAGTTGCAGGTGACGGTGACCATGACGAACGGGACGTCGTCGCCTCGTGTTTGGAGGAGGTCTTCGAGCGCGACGAGGTCCATGTTGCCTTTGAACGGCGCGTCGGCGGAAGGGTCTTGCCCCTCTTTGGTGAGCAGATCGATCGTCGCGCATCCGGAGTGCTCGATGTTGGCGCGGGTGGTATCGAAGTGGGCATTGTTTGGGACGATCTTTCCCTTACCCTGTCCCGCGCCGATCATGACCTCGACGAGGAGGCGTTCGCTCGCGCGTCCCTGGTGGGTGGGGAGGATATTGGAGATCCCTGTAATATCTTCGATGGTGTCACGGAAGCGGAACCAGCTCGGAGCGCCGGCGTAGGACTCGTCTCCACGCATGACTCCGGCCCATTGCTCGGAGCTCATCGCGCCGGTCCCGGAGTCAGTGAGCAGGTCGATCATGACGTCTTGCGAGGGGATCGCGAAGAGGTTGTGGTGCGCCTTGCGGAGCGCTTCTTGGCGCTCCTCGAGCGAGGTCATGCGGATGGGTTCAACGGACTTGATGCGGAATGGTTCGATGATTGTGGGCATGGGTGAGTGTAGGTTTCTGGGTATGGATTCACTGGTATAGAAGCAAAAAACAGCCCGGATAGTCCGGGCTGTTGTGGTGGATTCTTGGTGGGTTAATCCCAGGTGTTGATGGGGGCGTTGGGGTTGGTTTCTTCCCCTTCAGCGCCGCGGACCTGGTCTGGCGCGAAGTGGTCTTGACGCCAGGATTCGGGGTACTGCGGGTCGTCGAGTTGCATGCACGCTTTGGTGGGGAACATCGGACGGAAGGTGTCGCACATCACGGCCATCTCGTCGGTCCACTTCTTCCCAAGCGATGCTTCGACGGTTCCTGGATGCGGGCCGTGGGGAATGCCCTGCGGGTGGACAGAGATCGATCCCTGCGAGATCCCGCGGCGGGCTTTGTAGTTGCCCTCGACGTAGTACATGATCTCGTCGGAGTCGATGTTCGAGTGGTTGTACGGCACAGGGATCGCATCGGGATGGAAGTCCAACGCGCGAGGGCAGAACGAGCAGATCACGAAGTTGTGTCCCTCAAACGTCTGGTGGATCGGCGGAGGCATGTGGAGCTGTCCGGTGATCGGCGCAAAGTCGTGGATGTTGAAGCAGTAGGGGTAGTAGCAGCCGTCCCATCCGACGACTTCGAGAGGGTGGTATGGGTAGATGTAGGAGTGCACGGAGTTGAGCGCTTTGATGCGGACCTCAAAGTCACCCTTCTCGTCGTATGCGAGTGGATGGTCTTCGTCTTCGAACGGAACACGCAGATCGCGTTCGCAATACGGCGCGTGCTCGAGGAACTGTGCAGTCTTCTTGGAGATGTAGCGTGGTGGGGGGAGGAAGTGGCTCGCGTTGCACGTCTCGAAGCAGATGAACTTCCCGAGCGGCATTTCGTCTTTGCTGAATCCGCCGAACTCGTCGATGTCGCTGCCGTCGTCGGGGCGTTCGTCAAAGACGATCTTGTAGATCACACCTTTGGGCATGACGATGTAGTCTTTCTTCCCGAACTTGAGGGTTCCGAACATCGAATAGACGGTGCCTGACCCGAAGTGTACGAAGAAGCACTCGTCGCCTTGTCCGTTCTTGTAGTGGTACTCCATCTGTTGATCTGGTTGGCAGATGGACATCTCGATGTCGTTGTTTCCGAAGATCACCACGCGTCCCTGGACGGGGTCGCCGTGTTTCTTGAAGTTCTGTGATTTGACATGACGCATGCGCATCACATCTTCTTCCACATACTCGACCTTGGTGGAGTAGAGCTTTTTCCATCCGGTGACCTGGGTCGGCGGATGGATGTGGTACATGATGCTGCTTGGCCCAACGAACCCCTCGGTGCCGAAGAGTTCTTCGGAGTACAAAGCACCGTCGGGTCTACGGAACTGGGTGTGACGCTTCTTGGGCAGTTTGCCCATCGACATGTAATACGGCATTGAAACTCAACCTCATTCTTCCCGCTCAGCTCATTTGCGGCGGGAGATGCCATGTTTTCGGACCCTGAATCGAGAAACGGCTCGGATCCTGAATGCATGATTGTATCAGGCATACTCGATGGTTTTTGGGATGATTTGATGCTCCGATGGGGTCTTCATAGCACTGAAATCGGGTCTGGGCGTGTGCTGCAAACAGTTTGCGAACATCAGGCTCATATCTGTGTGGTGTGGAGAAGGAGAGCTTTCGTGACCGATAGAGCAATACCGCGCCCTTTTATGGGGTTCGGGCGTATAATCTGGTTCGAAGTGGACGAACTCAGATACGGATCCAAGGGGACTTCCGGATCGAGTTCATGTGAGCCGAAGACTTTGTTCAACGACGCCTCAGCTAAGCGATTCAAGAGTGATACACCCTCGCGTGTCCGATTTGGGCCGTATGAATCTGTGCGTCCACTTGCGCCTGTTCACGGCTGTCAAAGAATGATCATGCTGCACGGGCATGAGCGTACGAACCACTTGATGTATCGTTTCGAGCACATCAACGATTCTGTCGCTCGTCGTCGCGTGTTTGATCGGATTATGAAGACAGCTCGTCTTGAGCATGCACATATTCTTGAGATCGAGCGTGTGGGTTACGATGATACAGGACGCTTATGTGTGATCACGGAGTATCCAGGGAACCAGGAGGGTCTTGTGACTCTCGGGGATCTGCTTGAAGCTCGTGGTGGGCGTCTTGAGTTCAAAGAAGCTATCCGCTTGATGGGACAACTCCTTGAAGCATGTATGCATGCATCGGAGCAAGGCATCGTCCATGGTCCATTCACTATGGATGAGTTGCTGGTTGATCGTCACGGCTGTACATTGATCGAGCTCTTTGGGCTCGAGCAAGCGCTTCATAACGAATATTCAGTGCCGGATGCTCGGGCGGAGCAGACTCGTACGGTCATCGGGATCGGTTACCACCTGGCGACAGGCATGTCGTTCGGAGAGCATTCGTCTGAGAGCGAAGGCGGGAAGCCATCCAAGTTTACGAAGAAGAACGAGCGCCACTGGGACAACTGGTTCGGATACGCGATGGATCCAATGGGGGGATTCGAATCTTCGATGCAGGCATTAGAGACGATGCCGACAGATGCTGAGCACATTGCTCGCTTAGTCGAGTTGAAGCCGCAGATTCCGATGCACGCTCCGAAGCGTGTCTCAAAGTCCAACCAGAACATCGCTGGTGCTGTGTTCTCTCGATTCCGCCGATCAGCGAATCGCCCACAGGACTGATTATTTAGTTCCAATCTTGAGTGCAGATTCATTTACTGAATCGCTGCGTCGTAGCGTGTCTGGATCTCTTCCCAGTTGACGATGTTCATAAATGCGTCAATGTACTCGGCACGTCTGTTCTGATAGTTCAGATAGTATGCGTGTTCCCATACATCAACACCTAAGAGCGGTATCGCGCCAGCAAACATCATTTGTTGCTGATTCTGCATCTGTAGGATCATGAGCCGTTGAGCGATGGGTTCATAAACGAGCCAGCCCCAGCCTGATCCCTCAACAGATTTTGATGCGGCTATGAAGTGTGCTTTGAACTGTTCGATGGATCCAAAGTCACGTTTGATTGCTTCTGCGAGAGAACCTGACGGATTCCCACCTCCGCCTTTGGATTGTGGTGCCATTCCGCTCCAAAAGAGAGTATGGTTGATATGTCCTCCGGCGTGGAATGAGAGTTGGCGCTGCCAATGCTGGAGTGTGCTCATGTCACCTTCTCCGTCGCGGATTCGCTCAAGTTGTTTGAGCGCATTGTTGAGTCCGCGTACATATCCAGCGTGGTGCTTGGAGTGATGAATCATCATGGTCATGGAATCGATGTGGGGTTCCAACTCGTCATAGCCGTAGGGGAGTGTCGGGAGGGAGTACTCCTTGGTCGTGTCGTCGAATCCAAGATCAATGCTTGATAGTACCGAAGCGTGTGCCATGGTAGAGAAACCAGCGAGGGCTCCGATCCCAGCGGCGGTTGTGGTCATCGTGGTTAATGCTTCTCTGCGTGTGATATCTTGATTCATGGTGTGCTCCATTCGTTCGGCATCATCCACTCGATGCAGCGTGCTTATCCTAGTCAATCTTGTCTTCCCTCGATTGCGGCGATCAGGCAAGTCGCTCCGAGCAGCAGTAACTCGTCAAGTTCTTCGTCGTCTTTGAGCACTGAAAGTCCCAAACGGTACACAAACCAGTTGAAGTGCTGCCGTACATAAGCGACGGGCTCTTCGGAACCGCTTTTGAAAAACTCGTAGTGTTGCGGGAAGAAGGCGGAGAGGTCGCCGCGGCGCATGAAGGCCATGAACCAGCTCTTTTCTTTGAGCATGCCGATCTCTTGTCCTTGGTCATCAAAGATGAGCCATTCGTCTTTGAGGAATGTCGATTTGAGCCCCTTGCGACGGAGCGATCCAATCTGTGTGCCGTCGGGTAGTGTGATGTCGTAGGTTGCACCAAAGTCGATGATGGATCGTGCGGCGAGTGTGAGCAGTGGCTCAGAGAGTGATTCGTCTGTATAGAGGCGGATGTCTTCTTTGAGTTTGAATGCTATTTGTTTGCAGTATCCGACGAGTGAGCCGTGTTCGTCGTAAATGTGGAACGCGGCGCCGAAGATCTTGAGAACCTTGCGGCGGATGGTGTACTGTTCTCCAGGTTTGGCTTTGATTGGCATAGTGAATCCTGTACTCAACTGTTATGTGTATACAGATAGTGTATGAAAAAACCGGGTCTTGCGACCCGGCCTTGGAAGTTGTAGTCAATCTTTTGTTTATTCGGATTCGCCGACTTGCCAGCGTTTGAATGAGCTCAGGGAGCAGCCTGAACCAACGAGGTCTTTGATCTTCTTTGAAGTGTCCATGACGAAGTCTTGCTCGAGGAGTGCGACTTCTTCGAAGAACTTGCGCATGCCGCCTTCAACGATTTTCTCAGCAATCGATTCGGGCTTGCCGGACTCGACCGCTTGCTCGATGCGGAACTTCTTTTCCTTCTCGACGAGGTCTGCCGGGATGTCGTCGGCGCTGAGTCCGAGCGGGCGAGGCATCGCTGCGGCGACATGCATCGCGATCTGGCGCATGGTGTCGTCACCGAGTTCGCCTTCGGCTTGGATGAGCACGCCGGTCTTTCCGTCGTGGTGGACATACTGGCCGTAGGTTGTAGATCCTGCGGAACCTGAGAGGCGTTCGATTCGGCCGATCGAGATATTCTCACCGGTCGAGATACGAAGGTTGTCGATGATCGCGTTCATCTCATCGCTTGGTTCGACGGATTCTGCGGCGAGACCAAGAGCGAGCTTAGCGAGTTCATCAGTCGCATTGATGAAGTTCTCATTCTTTGCGGTGAAGTCGGTCTCTGCTTTTACTTCGACGATCGCTGCGGATGAGCCATCGTCGGAGACGGCGATGCCGATACGACCTTCGCCTGCGACGCGATCGGTCTTGGTTTCCATCTTGCCTTTGAGCTTCTTGCGGAGAAGCTCTTCAGCTTTCTCAGGATCGCCGCCGGCTTCGGTGAGTGCTTTCTTGCATTCCATCATTGCGAGCCCGGTCTTATTCCGAAGGCTCATGACATCTTTAGCGCTGATTTCCGCCATATCTGTTACTCCAGCATTCTGCGGTTTGGTGTCGCCACCCATCGCTGGGTGGTTCGTGGTGGTATTGATTGAACAGACCCGAGGGTCTGATGAAACTTGACTACTCTGGACTCAGTTCAAGACTCGGCGGCTGCAGTAGCGGCGTCATTGACGCTGCTCTCTGCTGTTGGAGCGTCATCTGCTTTGAACTGTGCACGGCGAGAGCGCTTCTGAGCACCTTCGTTTGCTCCGTTGTCTTCTTTGTCCTTGTTGGTGATCACGCGATTCTGCTTGCCGTCAGCGACTGCTTTGCAGAGTTCGCGGATCACGACATCGATCGAACGCATGGAGTCATCATTTCCTGGGATTGCGATGTCGGCCATGTCAGGGTCACCATCGGTGTCGATGAGACAGATGGTTGGGATCCCGAGCTTGCGTGCTTCGCGTAGAGCGGTGGTTTCACGCTTGACATCGATCGCGATCATGACGCCTGGGAGTTTATTCATCTTGCGAACACCACCGAGATTGCGTGCGATCTTCTTCATTTCGCGGCGGAGCTGGGATTCCATCTTCTTGGAATAGCTCTGGAAGTTGTCTTCTTGCTCGATCGCTTCGAGTTCTTCGAGACGGGAGAGTCGGGAGCGGATGGTACGGAAGTTTGTGAGCGTGCCACCGAGCCAGCGCTCAGTGACAAAGTGCATGTCGACATCCGAGACGCGTTGCTCGATGACATCTTTCGCTTGGCGCTTGGTGCCAACGAAACAGACATCCTTTCCACCCGCTACGACATTCTGAACGAGCTTGCGCGCTAGGAGGAGACCTTTGACGGTTTCCTTGATGTCGATGATGTGGATGCCGTTGCGCTTGCCGTAGATGTATGGTCCCATCTTCGGATTCCATCCAGAGGATCGCTGTCCGAAGTGGATGCCCGATTCGATGAGGTCTTGGACAAGAGTGTTTGCCATGATAATGATCCGTTCCTTTGCCAGCGACACCGGCGGTGATCGGACCGCGAGAGGGCGCTTTGGTGACAGATAAGGATCCGCGGTTGCGGATCGGGGTTGCTTTGTACTCAATCAAACTGACCGGCACCGATCATGCCGGGTCTCAAGTATAGATACCTGTTTGGGTTGGGCAAACAGAAAATCGCCTGAAATCTCAATACGAGTGCCCGAACAAAACCATATCGGATCGTGGTGGGCGTGATCTGGGGAACATTCCCTAGCCTGAGCTAGGACTTCGGGTTCAGTTGGTTTCATTCTTGGACGATACGGCTTATCGGTATACACCACGACCTATGGCCGAGGGACTGAGACATGAGCAAAGGTGGACTGATTATCCGAAAGAATGAGCGCTATGAGATATCGCTCCCGGCGAGGGCGCGAGTTGCGTTCTCGCATGCTGAACTCGTGAAGTTCAGCAAGGGCGCCAGCTCAAAAGACGGCTGGGTTGATGTGCATCTGATCGATTTCTCGACGGCGGGGATCGGGATCGTGTCCACAACTTTTTTCCCACGAGGCACACTGATTGAGATTGAGGTCCCTGAAGCCGGTGAAGAAAGCACGGATGTCATGATCCGTTGTGAGATGCGTGTCATGCGTGTGCAGATGACCGATCGCCGACCAGCGTACCTGATTGGTGGAGCGTTCACGGAAATGACCGAACGGCTCGAAGAGCAGATCACCAAGATGCTGGCTCGACTCGATGGCGCGGGAGGCGAAGATGCTTGAAGCAAATGAGTTCATCCTGAGGTCGCTCATCGAGGAAGGCAAACTCAGCGAGCGTGATGTCGAAGAAATTCGTGAGTATGCGGCTGAATACGACGCGCCGATGGATGAGGTCGCACTCAAGCTCGGCAAGATCTCCGCGCGCGATATGGCAATGGCCAAAGCGACTGTCTGCGAGTACCCATTTGTTGATATCGAGTTGTTCGACATTGATATTGCGAACTCACGGCTGATGCCCAAGAGCATGGCGGAGCGGAACAACGCGTTCCCGCTCTTTGTTACTGGTGAGATCGCGACTGTGGCGATGCACGAGCCGCTGGATCTGCAGGCGCTCGATGAAATTCGTCAGACGCTGCGTATGCAGATCGATCCAGTCGTTGTCGATACCAACAAGCTCAGCTCGTTGATCACCCGAGCCTACTCATTGGACACGAGTATTGATACAGATCACGAGGTCGATCAAGAAATCGCGATTTCGATCGAGCAGGAACCAATCGTAGCCGCGGTGAATCAGATCCTGTTCTCGGCAGCAGAGATGAACGCGTCCGACATCCATATCAATCCTGACGACAAGGTGCTGCATCTTCGGTATCGCGTCGATGGTGTCCTCAATACCTCGCGTGGTCCAGCGATCACGCTTCATGAAGGAATCATCCAGCGTCTCAAAGTTATGGCGCATCTGGATGTAGCGCAGACTCGCCGTCCGCAGGACGGGAAGTTCCGCTTTGTGTTTGATGGTCAGCCGATCGATGTTCGTCTGAGTCTGATCCCAACCATCCACGGCGAGAACGCGGTGCTCCGTTTGCTCAGCAGCGCTGCGAAGATTGGCCAGATTTCTGATCTCGGGATGCCCGCGAAGATCGCGGATTCGTTCCAGAAGATTATCTCCAAGCCCCACGGCATGGTGCTTGTGACCGGTCCGACCGGTTCGGGTAAAACGACGACTCTGTACACAGCACTGAATCAGATCAACACGGCGGATCGGAACATCATGACTATCGAGGATCCGGTGGAAATCCGTCTCCCGATGATTCGTCAGGTACAAGCGAACAGCGCGATCGGTCTCGATTTTGCATCCGCTCTGCGTTCGATGCTGCGTCAGGACCCCGATGTTATTCTTGTTGGTGAAATCCGTGACAGCGAGACCGCGAAGATCGCAACGCAAGCCGCGTTGACTGGTCACCTAGTATTCTCGACGCTTCACACCAATGACGCGGTGGGGGCGATCCCAAGGCTCAAAGAGTTTGGTGTCCCGGCGTTCGCGATTAACAACGCGTTGCTCGGAGTGATCGCGCAACGCTTGGTGAGGAAGATTTGTTCTGACTGCGCCGAGTCCGATTCTCCGAGCGAGCTTGAGCTTCGTTCCTTGGGATTGAATCCTGACGAAGGCATCCAGTACATGAAGGGACGCGGATGTGCACGCTGCTTGAGCACAGGGTACAAAGGGCGCGTCGGTGTCTACGAACTCTTTACGGCTACTCCTGAGATCCGAGAGCTCATCGAGACTGGATCATCGTTTGCTGAACTCGCTGCCGCGGCTCGTCGCGCTGGGATGCGGACGATGCTTGAGTGCGGTATCGAGAGCGCGAAACTCGGGATCACCACAGTCGAAGAGCTCGGTAAGCTCCACGCGACGGTGGATGAGGATATGGATGCCGATGATAAACCACTGAAGATGAGCGCCTGATCGGAGATCTCCTAAATGAGCACCAAGAGATACAACTACAAAGCGCTCGATGAGTCTGGGAAAACCGTTCGCTCGATGATCAACGCGAGCAATGAGGATGAAGTCTTTGCGCGACTCTCAGAACAGGGGCTCACGATTCTCGATGTACGAGAAGGCGGGTCAGGACGCAAAGGATCGTTCGGGAGTGATCGAATCTCACAACTTGAGATCGCGCTGCTCACTCGTGAAATGAATGCTTTGCTTGAGGCGAATATCCCGCTCTCGCGCGGCCTACTTTCTATTGGTGAGCATGAGAAGAACACGAAACTCCGAGACATGGTCATTGATATTGCTTCCATGATCGAAGCGGGGGAGAAGATCACCGTTGCATTCTCGAAGTATCAGAATGTATTCGGTGAGGTCTATATCGAGACTCTCCGCTCTGCTGAAAAATCAGGAAGGCTTGCTGCGGTGACTTCGCATCTTGCAGACATGCTTGAACGCAATGTCGAACTGCGCCAGATGGTCCGGAGAGCGATGTCGTATCCGTTGATTGTGATCGGATTTGTCGCGCTGGCGCTTGGGGTGATTGTCATCTTTGTTGTGCCACGCTTCGCGGTGATCTTTGAGAACAACGGCGTTGATCTTCCTATGACGACCGCAGTTGTCCGCGCAATTGGTGCCTCGATCATGACCTATTGGTGGGCGTACCTTTCAGGTGCGATCACTGCAGTCTATCTACTCATCAAGAGCTGGAAAAATCCGACTGGTCGATATCGAATCGAGTTGCTGATGCACAAGACGCCGTACATAGGCAAGGTGCTGACGGCGGTGACGACCGCTCGATTCTCTAGCGTGCTGAGCATCGGTTTGGAATCCGGCATAGAGGTCATCGAAGCGATCGAGATCTCAGGGATGTCCACAGGCCGTCCTGTTTTCCAACGCGAATGCAACGAGATGTGCTTGGATATGCGGAACGGTGAAGCGCTCGAGGATGTGATCAACAGCTCAAAAACGCTCCCGAACTTTGCACGCCGATTGCTGGGATCTGGGAAAGATTCGGATGAACTCGCCAAAGCAGGTCGGATCATCGCTCGTCACTATGACCGCATGTCCGACCATCTGACCAAGAACATCAATACGGTGATCGAACCGATGATCACGATCGCAATGGCTGGGATTGTGCTGTTGATTGCACTTTCTGTGTTCTTGCCTATGTGGCAAATGATCAGCATCAACAAATAAGGAGAGATGAGATGAGAAGAAGCGCCTTTACCCTTGTCGAGTTGCTCATTGTTGTGGTGATGCTGGGAATTCTTGCTGCTGTTGCGGTCCCCAAGTTCAGTTCAGCGTCTGATGATGCGCGATCATCCTCGGCACAGAGCACACTCGCTGGTGTTCGCTCTGCGATTGCTACATACAGAATGAATGCCGTGATCAGCGGGAATGATCCATTTCCTACGCTGGCACAACTGACTGATGGGACTGTGGTCAAGTTTGATATCCCAGCGAACCCATTCAGCGGCGTTTCGGGCGTGCAAGCGGTGAGTCAGGGTCAAGCAAATAGCCGATCTGTGATCTCTCCGACCAGTGCTGGATGGAACTACTTTGTCGACAACTCCGCGAATCCACCAGTCGCGATTTTCTACTCAAACTCCGAAAACGATTCAACGGTTGATGATGGTTCGGGAGGAGTCCTGGGAGCGAACGAGCTTTGAATCTCTCAAGCCGTACATCAGGATGTAGATCACGACGAGCATTCACTGTGTATGAACTGCTCGTTGTTGTCGTGATTATGGGGATCATCGCTGTTTCGGCGACACCTGTACTGAGCCAGAGTATTGAGGCGCGTCAAGCCGCAGCTCGCGATGAGGTGATCCGATTGCTTGAGTACGCACGCGGACGAGCGATCGCGACTGGATTCCCGGCTGGAGTACGCGTTGATACCATGGATAGCACTATCCGGATTTTGGCTATAAATGAAGTGGGGGCGGTTGTTGATCTCAGTGATCCCATCAGCGGCGATTCTATGATGTCCAACCTTCCGAACGAGTTTGCGGAAGTGCTCGTCAGATCGTTTGTTAATGGTGATGGTGGAAACGGCACAGGAACGGTCTGGTTTGATTACCAAGCGGAGCCTCACACCAGGGATGATGTGAGTGGCGTGTTTGATGCCGTATTCATTCAGAATGCGACCATCACACTGAGCACTGGGACAATGATTGTGATTCATGCGGATTCAGGGTTTGTGGAGGATCAGCCATGAACTATGCGATCCGTCGAGGAATGAGCCGCAGTGCGTTTACTCTGATCGAAGTGGTGACCATGGTGATCGTCCTTGCGATCGCGGTGCCGCCAACCCTTGAGATATTGATGAGCAATACCGCATCACGCGCCAATGTGATCAATACGGGACGCGCGACGATGCTCGCGAGTAATGTGCTCGAAGGGATTATGGCGGATGTTTCATCGAGTGACGAATCACTCGGATTCGAAGCGCTCGCGGACGCCAGCGTGTATCTCGATACTCCAACGACTGGTTTTTATAGTCGGATGAGCACTGCGACGCAGTCTTTCACCAGCCGAGGTATGACTTACAGCGTACAAATCGGTGAGCTCGTTGCTGCGGACGGCATGGTGTCTGGTGATGCTGGGGACAATGTGTTCCGAACAGTGACCGTCACGGTTTCTTATCCCTCCGCAGATGGGGCGGCGTACACACTCCCAGTGTCGCTGATGGTGTCGTCGCTATGAGTGTTCAACTTGTCCAACCTGCCAAGCATCGCGGTTTCTCGCTAATTGAGATGGTTGTTGCGATGACCATGATGTCCGTGATCGCCGCAGTGATTATGCCTGTGATAGTGTCCTCGACTGATGCGTATGCTGTGGCGCGTGATGCGCGTGCGGATACGGATCGTGTACTCTACGCGCTGGAACGCTCGGCTCGTTTGGTGCGTGAAGCACCATTTGCCGCTGACGATTCGGGGCTCGCAGTCCAAGTTGGAAGCGCCACTCGATTCATACTGACGGATGGCTCAGGTTTGCGTCTGAGCGGTGATCAACTCGAGCTGCTCAAGCCGGGGGGGCAGTCATCGGTGCTGTGCTCCGAGATCGATCGCGTGCAATTCACTTACTATGACTCAGCTGGGAATCCGATGACCATCGTCAATCCATCGCAGATCCATCGTGTATGCCTGCGAATCCAGAGTGGTGCAATCGACATGGAGATGTACGCGATGCCTCGCTCGTGGATCGGGCGTGAGGGGGGGGCATGAGTCACGCACGATCCAGAAGAGGCTCGGTTTTGGCGGTGCTCGTCGTGGTGCTCGCATTGCTCGGATTGGTCGTCGCGGGTTCGATCCGTCCGCTTCGAGACGAAGCTACGCTGACAACGATGCGTGTCGAGACGATCCGCGCGTTTTATGCCGCTGAATCCGGGACAATGATCGCGATCCAGGGATATGTAGGGGAAACAGAGATGCCGATCGAGGGATCATCGATTGTGGTCAACGATCAAACAATCGTCTTCACACAGATCCCCGAATCCGACGGCGTTGCGGTGATCCATGGTGTGAGCGGCGATGCGACGCGCCGCATTGAACTCGAACTTCAGTAACTTCCTTGGTAGGTCCGTATAACGCCTCCCCTGTATTGAGGGGTATTTGTATTCATACAGAAGTCGAGTCTATCTTGGGTCGATAAGTGCTGTACTCGGATGATTCCAAGACGGAGACACTCGGATGATCAAATCCAAAGACAAACTGACCGTATTCCTGGCGCCGGACAGGCTCACCATCGCGCACGCGCGAGGCGGGAAGATTGTCCAAGCAGAGAGTCTGAGTCTCGATCAAAGCAAATGGACTGATGCATGGTCTGGTGGTCTCCATCTTTACGACCTCCCTCTGCGCCAACTACTCGCTCGATTCAAGGGCGCCAAAAAAGTATGGCACGCTGATCTTTTCTATAAGAGCCCGGGTTCATTGTGCCGTGTCGAGATCACTGATCATGATGAATCAACCGCGATCGCGAAACTCGAGGGAAGCTTGAAGCAGTCGATCGGGACTGTCAATCCAGTCGATGCGGCCTCTTTGTATGCTGTGGAATCTACGAATGTCTCGATGGGGGTCGCGGATACAGAAGCGAATCTCCAGAAAGTGTTCGCATGGATGAATCGGAACAAGATCTCATTGGATCTGATTCTCCCAAGCGATACGGTCCTTGTCGATCAAGCATTGATGTTCGCGCAGCAGACGGATGAAGAGACCGCGGTTTTGTTCTTGGGTGAGCGGTCAAGCGTGATCGCGTACAGCGAGCATGGAGAACCCAAGCTGTTGAGACTCGTCGAGATTGGGTATGACAAGCTCAACGCGGTCTATCAGAGGGTGTTCGCAAAGTCGGAAGGTTCTGATGAATCGGGATCACATGATGTAAATCACGGGTCATCCGAGTCCACGAATGAGCAAGAAGTCCTCAATGGAATGGGCATGCTGTTCAAGCACGGCGTACCTGTAGGCAAGCATAAACGACCAAGCATTCCTGAACTCCGTGACATCATGCCTGGCATGGCTCCGGTTCTCCAGCGAATCAATATTGAGATCAAACAGACTTTTCGATTCGCGAACTCATTTGAGAACGCTCCATCCAGACTTTTGATTTGTGGTCCAGGCGCATCGATCCCGATGATCGGATCGGCGATGGCTGATGGACTCGATCTTCATGTCGAAACCGATGAGGCGGCTGAGTCATACAGCTGCGATGAACTGCTCGGACTCGGAACTCATGAGCACACCGCGGTGACAAGCTTTGTTACCTCGCTACAGATTCTTCCTCGAGCTGCAAAGGAACTCCGTGTTCAATCGAATCTCTGGGAATGCTTGAAGATCGGTGGGGGGATTGCCGCAGCGTTGGTGATTGGGCAGTATCTCTACGCAGATCAGCAATTGGCAGAATCAAAGCAAACAGTGATTGCCCAGTCCGATCAGATCAGTATGATCGAGCAAGATCAGAATCGCAGGCAGTCCATCCGCGCCATGGCGAGCACGATTGAAACCGCGGCGAACATGATCGACGAGGAGATGGGATCATCAGTGGACTGGTTCGAGTTCCTTGGAATGATGCCGGAGATGGATGAGGAAATTCTGCAACTCACCGAACTCCAAGCACGGATGAACGCTAAGCATCCGATGGTGAATCTGTCCGGCATGGCGATGGGAGATGGCGAGGGGAGCGACGCGAGCCAGGTGCTCTCTCAGTACATCAAGTCATTGCGTGCATTGGATATTGTCAATAGGATCGAGATCGGGAGTACTTCAAAGTCGCTCTTGGATGGTGGGCAATGGGGTCTGAGCTTTGTGCTCGCGATTGAACTCAAATCGAATACGGGAGAGTTCGAGACTCTCACCAAACTCAGCCAGGCTGATATGGGAGCGATGCCGTGAATGCTGAAATACAGAAGAATGTGCTGATCCGCATCGTCCTTGTCGCGTGTGCATTCTGCCTCGCGTGGTACTTCCTTGTGAACCCGAAAGCTCAGCAAGTGCACGAGCAACGCGAAACGGTTGCTCAGTATGAGCAAATGATCATGGCATATCAATCAGAGGTTGGTTCATTGGACTCTGTGGAATCCATACAAGTCGAGAGTCAACTCCAGACTCACTTGGACCGCTTCCAAGGCATGATCAACACAGGAGATCCAGGCACGAAGTTGCACACCATCATTAATGAATCAGCTGGTGCGAACGATGTTTCGGTTTCCCGCATTGAGACGGTGAACTCTCGCGAGCTCCATAAACGCAGTCAACAGATTAATGGCGAGATTAAAGGTATCGCCCACTCGATCCGCATCGAGGTTGAGGGGAAGTTCGGCTCAGTTGTCGCATTTATGGATCGGGTCGCTTCGAATCCGATGCAAGTCGAGTTCACCAGTTTCCGCATGATCCCGATGGGACATCAGAATGTGCGTGTCAATGCAGAACTCAACACAGTGATGCTCACATCGATCCCTACGGATCTGAGCATCGGAGGAGTTGAAGAATGAATATGAAAGCACAAGTCGCTAGTTTTCGGCTCTTTGCATTGGTCGGACCAAGCTTGGTCCTCCTCGGATTCCAGTTCGTCGCCTTTGAGCCATCTTCGGCACAAGCAAGCAGCACAGATCTCCAGTTCCTTCCGCTACCGAAGGTTCCTGAAGTTGCTGTGGAATCCGATCCGAGCGGCTTCTCGATCAGAGAATACTCACCGTTCTGGTTTGAGGAGGTGGAGGAATCGCTGCCTGACATGCCGGAGGCTCTGCTCCCAGAAGAACCGATGCATGATCCCGACCCAGTCTTTGTCCTTTCGTCGGTCCTCCCTTCTACGAACAAGTCCTTCGCGGTCATCAACGGTAAGCCGTATTCTGAGGGGGATGTCGTGTCTGAGGGTTGGACATTGGTCAAAATCGCTGGTCAAGAGCGATACATCATCGTGAAACACGAATCCGGCCGCCGACTACGTGTGCTGATGAGCCGGAACTAACGCTTGAAGCGGGAAGATCTGAGTACTACGCTTACCTTCGCAGGGCGTATAGCTCAGTTGGCTAGAGCGCTGCCGTCACATGGCAGAGGTCACTGGTTCAAGTCCAGTTACGCCCATTGAAAAAGCCGCGGATCACACGATCCGCGGCGTTCAATTTTTATGGATCATCTTGATCAGCGTTCGATCACATAGGCCGCATCCATTGCCTTTGAGATCCGTGTGCGGATGTCACTCAGGTGGGCGGTTGTGTACGAATCTGGATTCCGCTCAAGGGCTCGATCGCACATCGAGTCGATTCTTCCAAGCTCCGCCGATGCGAGAGTCGCGATTGTACGAAGCGATGGGGATGATGTGCCGTCGAGAAGCATGAGTTGGATCAAGCGATCTGTGTGCTCGCGTTGGAGATTCCTACGGAAGCTCGAGATCTCTATGTCGTCACGAGACGAGCCGTTGGTTGGGGAGCACTCGCTCCAGGCTCGATTGGTGACAGTGGTCACGAGCTCAGCGAGTGTGAACTTGTCGTTCGGATCAGCGCGGAACTCGTTGTCATACACTCGACGGAGACGAGTCGGATTCATGAGGAAGGTCATACCGGTTGCTTGGAGACCGCCAACAAGATCATGGACTGTTGCGGAGGGATCCGCAAGCAGTTCGTTAATCCCTTGAGGATCCCACCAGTATTCTTTGCCGAGGTGGCGGATAAGCTCTGGTGTGATTCCGAATGCAGCGTCTTCGAAGGTGTTGTCGATGACAAAGTTCATCGCTTCTCGTTGACGATCAGCAGAGATATCTGTGATCGGAGCCGGAGCGTCCGGATCACCCTTGCGAGCGTTGGTGATGTATGAACCACCGACATAGGTCGCGGCGATCGAGACGGATTGGAGGTGAGTGCCGAGGAACGCGTTGAATCGTCTGCGTGCTTCTGACCATGATTCGCCGTCATCTACGATTTCAGTCAGCAACTCACCACGCAGTTTCTGGACGAGCGAGAGGCGGGAGCGTGCGAAGTTCATGTTGTCCGCGCCGTTGTCCCAAGTGACATTCCGTGGATCCGATCCGAAGGTGATCTCGGACTGTGGAATGAACAAGTGACCCGGCTCTTGCGATTGCTTGAGAACTTCCTCGATCTCGGACTCAGGACCGTATCCGAACGCGATCGCCCATCGGTCGTATGGACCGACCTCTGGGGTCGCGAAAGGACCTTGTACCTCGCCGAGCTCATGATTGATGTTCGCGGCGATGTAATCCATGACCGAAGCTGTGGTTGCTCCTTCAATGTCTTCAGAGTTCATTTCTTCGAGCGAGCGATAGGTTGAAGCCGCCATGTTGTGCTGCAGTCCGAGGCAGTGACCGACCTCGTGCGCGGAGATGTATCGGATCATCTCTCCCATATAGTTCTCTGGGATCCCGTCGAGCAGTTCAGTGTTTTCGTCTCCCATCATTCCAGCAGCGAGCGCTGCGTCTGCGATCGAGAGATCCACACTCAGCATGTTCCCGATGGTACACGCCGCGTTCATATGGTTGCTGGACATGCAGCTCCAAGGATGCTCTCTGTCACCCAGTTCATGCTCAGAAACTTTCTGAGCTTCGAGAGCAAGATTCCGCTGTACAAGCTCGCGTTGCTCTGGTGGAGCAAGACGAACACGCGGATCCCAGTTTGGATGCTCTGCGAAGAATGCCAATGTTTCAGGATCAAACGACTGTTCGGTCATTTCATCTACAAAGGTACCAAGCATCGATGTGATTGCGCGGGTCAAACCTTGGTGCCAGACGACATCCGCGTCGAGGATCTCGCCAGTATACGGATTGGTGCGTGATGGACCGATTGCGTAGCCATAGGACGAAGCGTTCCAACGGAAGAAGTTAAAGCGTGCGTCTTCTGGATCGATATCCATAAACGCGCCTGTGTTCGCGTCCTGCTGGCGGACTTCGAGGGCTCCATCGATCCCGATCTCTCTGAATGCATCATTCCACATCTCAATCCCCTCACGCACATAGCGGCGGAAGCGGACAGGTGTGGTGTGCTCGATGTACCAGACGAGAGGTTCCTTTGGAGGGGACAGCTTCAAGCTCGGATCAGCTTTCTGGATATTCCAGCGTGAGATGTATCGGTCAGTGACCTCGTTGTTTCCTGTGACACCGAAGTCCTGATGCCAGTCATAGAAGTACCCAACGCGAGCGTCTGCCTTGCGTGGCTTGAAGTCGCTGCTGCCTTTAAGATTGGAGATGTTGTATGTGATGGACACAATCTGTCCGTCTGGACGCGGTGCTGTGTACTCAAAGATCACATTCTCAGGGAATGCTTTGGCGCTGGTGATTCGTGCAAGTGATGGGTTAATGTTGTACAGCGAAGGACCGTATCCCGCGAAGACAGATGATCCGAACAGTGCCGGGGCATGGCGTGTAGCAAGCGAACCGAGATCAACAACCGGACGCTTGTCTGGAGTGTGTGACAGAATCGGGAGCGAGAGCAAGACGCGTCCAGTGTAGAGGTCGCCTACAGAGTCTTGTGCTTGTTTGTCTTGGTTCGTGCGCACGCTCAAGTTCGGTGCTACGAGCGCGAGTTGATCCCCGATTTTGTGCCATTTTGCGTAGTGGGTAGGTCCCATGACACCAGCTTGGGGATCACCGCCTGAGACTGTGCATGCGATCATGACGGTTTGCTGGTCATACCCTCTGGGGAATGCAGCAAGCAGTTTGCCCTTCTCCTTGTCGGTATACAACTCATAAAAAGGAGAAGAGCCATCGGCGACAGAGATCACCTTGCTCAAGTCTTTGGTGACTTGATCAAAAGGTGCTTCTCCAGCAGCAGCGGGGGATCCTGCGAATGCGAGAACAGCGGCGATGGTAAGTGCGTGACGAACTTGGCGTCGGCGTGACATGATCAAACTCCTGCGCGAAAGGTGTGTGGTGGTCAAGAAGGCATTGAAACTGCCTACATCGTGTACCCAGACCGCTCAGTCGGGTTGCAAAAAGTGAACACTAAAATGCGATACAGCCCAATCTCGCCAGCTGAAAGATGCTTGCGTATAAAAAAACCCGCTTTGAGCGGGTCATCTTTCGGATGATTTTATCAGTAACTCAGATGCCGACGGCTTTGCTGGTTTTCGCCATGGAGACCTTCAGGGCCGCGGCTTCACGCTCGCGGGTGAGCTTTGTCACGGCATCCATGCGATTTGGTGCGTCCTCTGGAATCACTCGCGCTTGAGCTTCAGCGAGTTCTGCTTGTGCTTCGGATTCAATGATCTCCTCTGCAGCGATTGCTCGTTCAGCAAGGATGATGAGTTCGTTGTGCGACATCTTGAGGAATCCACCATCGACGAAGTACTCGCGAGAGCCACTTCCAGCGTCTGCTGGGAAATCCAGTCGGAGCTTGCCAAGTCCCAATCGAGCGACGATCGGTGCGGTCCCGTGTTGGACACCCATGAGTCCATCCCAAGCCGGGACGGATGCGTAAACGACCTCCTCATTGAGGAGTTCGCGTTCTGGGGTAACAAGTCGGCAAGTGATCGGATTGGCCACGGCTGATTCCTCTTTCAGAGTCCTGTTTGGTGAGGAGAATCATAGCCCGGTACAAGCGGACTGAAGGCTTTGTGACCCGTCGAATTCACTGAGAATTGGGTCCGCTCGAAGCTCAATCAGGGAGCTTGGATTCGATCTTCACCAGCAGATCGCGGATCTCAGTGAGGACCTCACTCTGCTGATTGGATGGTTCTGGAGTGGTCTGATCCGGTGTGGATTTGGACCCCTGAGCGAGCCGATCTCGCTGATCGAGGACCGATTTGCGGAACTCCACAGCATCGACAATCCCGATGATGTTCACCAGTGATCCGCCTGGACCGGACGATTGACCTGCGGTCTCGACTTTGAACCCTCGGAGACCGAAATGACGCATGATTGGGCCTTGGAACATCTGAAGATCGGTGATTTTCTCCAGTGGGATCGTGGACTCTGTTTTGTTCATAATCCCTTTTTTGATTTCCAGCGTCCGCTCATTGAGCGTGCATCCCAAGTTCGCGAGGTGCTTTGCGATCAGCCAGTTCCCGATGATGACATACACAATCGCGAGAGGTATTCCAACGATTGTTAAACACAGAATGATTGATGTAGACCAGAGGTAATACGGTTTGACTTTGGGATCAAAGTCCGCGTCCCAAAGGATTCGTTCTTCTGACATAGAAAATCCTCACAGTGCGATTGATGAATCTACACAGTATATCAGAATAGCACACGCTTCGGTTGGGTATTAGACGACAGGATCCGCAACGACCCGTGTCTGGATGATCGGTTGTGGATCTATGTCCGCTAGGAGATACTCGATGACATCAAGTGCCGAGTATGAGGTTTCGCCGGGCTTGAGGAAGCGAGCAATCCCGGCGACATCATCCCCACAAGTGATGAGTGGTTTTTCGAGATCACCGTTTTGTTGGATCTGTCCCAAGTGGATGTTCGCCATGAGTCCGTTGCAGACACACTTTCGACCGACTGTGTCTTCAAGCGATCCACCTTTGCGGACATAGTCGTCGATCGGCTCCGATGGGCAGCGCCAGCCGACTTTGCCGTTCTCTTTGCGATACGCGTGCCGGAGATATCCAAGATCGCAGATCCTAGAGCGAGCCTCGTAGGTCGCTTGGTCGGAATGGGTCTGATTCATCTCCAAGACTTTGAACGGGAATCCGGTTGGAGACGCGACTGGATCTGTGAAGACTTCCGCTTCTCCCTTGATGCTCTTCTGGAGCCCTTGATCTCGGATAGCTTTATCTAGGCCAGATTCGTTGCAGAACGCAAACGCGGTCCCAACTTGAACTCCTGCGGCTCCCATATTCTTCGCTTCGACCACACGCTCAGGTTCTGCGTAGGAGCCGGCGAGCCAGAATGGGAGTCCAATTGCGTGGATCGCTTCAAGATCCGCGACATCGCGTTCTCCGTAGATAGGTTCACCCTCTACGCTGAGTTGCATCTTTCCTCGTGGAGGAGCGTTATGTCCACCAGCAGTGGGGCCTTCGATGATGAATCCGTTGACCTTGCCGCTCGCTTTCTTCGCGAGCATGTTTGCCAGTGGTGCGGAGGACACAATCGCGAGGAAATCAGGTCGTTTGATATCTGGAACCTCACCACCACAGAACTCGACTGGATCAAACTTGGTGGTGAACTCTTCACCAGCTTGGGCGCCTTGGACATCAATCTTCAGTTCTACGGCTTGCTTCGCGGCGAGTTTGTCGAGAATCCCAGGGATCGCTTTGGGGATTCCGGCTCCCATAAGCACATAGGACACACCAGCGAGCATCGCACCAAACATTGATGGGAGATTGGGGACCTGGATCTTCTCAAGGTAGTTGATGCCGACTGGTCCAGAGTGGCCTTCCTTCGCGAGGTAGACCTCGACGAAGTTCGACGCAACGAGGAGTTCCTCGAGCTGTTTGGAGTGCTTCATCCCAACAACAGGTTTGGGTTTGAACGGCTTGGATTCGGACTTCCCGCCTTCGACAAAGTATCGATCAATGATGCGCTGCGCGATTTCTGGGATCGGGAAGTGACCGAGCGCCCTGCGTACATGACCACCCGGATCACCAACTTGTAATCGTCTCGCAAGGATCAGATCGAGTGCCGTTCCCGAAACCACACCCATCTGGCCCGTACGGGCGACAGCATTGGCAAGGGTCCAACTGGAGACTCCAGCTCCCATGCCGCCTTGGATAATTGTGGGAAGAGATGCACTGGTCATGAAGTAGGTATCGTAGCCATGATCCGATCTTGGACGCTCACAAATCCGTGGACATTGAGCAGATGGATTGGTCTTGAGTTTGAGAATCGCATGTCATGACCTACGAGTCAGTTTTTGAGTGGTTCTGGAACTGCCTTTTGAGCCTCGGAGTGAAGATTTCTTCACACGCCCTTTGAATTTGCCTGATTCTGAGCTCCCACGATGCTTCCGAGCAGATTTGCTCAATGGCTTGTCAGCCGGCTTCCTGGATCGTTTCTTGCCTTGTTTGGAGAATGATTCTCCGCTCGATTGGGGTTTGCCTCGACGCTTTTTCTTGGTGCTCCCGTTGGTGTGCTTCGAGCCCGCGAAGTGTTTGGACTGAGGTTTCTTGCGTGAGCCTTTATGCTGTTTCTTTTTGAAACTCCCTCGTGGTTTCGGTGCCGGGATCGTGAGATCCTCATGATCTTCACCAATCGGGAGCGTGATGTTGGTACGGCGTTCGATCGCTCGATAGATGCCGACTTCTTCTGAGCCGCAAAGAGAGATCGCGATCCCAGATGCGCCTGCACGAGCGGTCCTGCCTATCCGATGCACATAGGTCTCTGGATCGATCGGCATGTCGAAGTTCACGACATGCGTGATCTCGTCCACATCGATCCCACGCGATGCGATATCCGTCGCGACAAGGACCTGAGTCTTACCATTCTTGAATCGCTTCATTGTCCGCGTTCGAGCGTTCTGGGTTTTGTCGCCGTGGATTGCTTCCGAGCTGATGTCTGATCGTTGAAGGTGCTTCACAAGCTTGTCGGCACCATGCTTGGTTCTGGTAAAGACCAGCGCTCGACCGACCGCATCCTCTGAGAGGATCCGTTCGAGGAGCACTGTCTTGTTTGCGCGATCTGCGAAGTACACGCGCTGCGTGATGAGCTCAGCGGTCGTGGATTCTGGAGCGGTTTCAACCGTGACTGGATTCTGAAGAATCGCGTCTGCGAGTGCACGGATTTCTCTAGAAACCGTCGCTGAAAAGAAGAGCGTTTGGCGATCCTCTGGGATCATCCCGATGACCTTGCGGATATCGTGGATGAACCCCATGTCCAGCATCCGATCCGCTTCGTCCAGCACAAGTGTCTCGATGCGACTCAGATCGATGTGCCCCTGATTGATCAGATCAAGCAACCTACCGGGGGTCGCGATCAGTACATCGACTCCGGCGCGGAGTGCTTGCACTTGTTTGCGTTGGCTGACGCCTCCGAAGACCACGGCGTGACGCAGGTGCAGGTTGCGTCCATACGCGACAAAGCTCTCGAAAATCTGCGTTGCGAGTTCGCGTGTCGGACAGAGCACAAGTGAGCGAGGTGGTCGTCCCTGACGATCTTTCCGTCGTCCTTTCATGGAACGCTCCTGATGCGACGACAGGTTGTGAAGGATTGGGAGGGCAAACGCACAGGTCTTTCCTGTGCCCGTCTGTGCGCATCCGAGGACATCTTGTCCAGTGAGTGCGACTGGGATGGACTGTGATTGGATCGGCGTCGCGTCGGTATAGCCTTTGTCGGCAACCGCGCGAACGATGGGCTCTGAGAGCCCCAGTTCAGTAAACTTCATATGTTCTTTTCTTCTGTTCCGGCAGGTGAGTCGGGGATCGGGGTCCCGTGGGTACCGGAGAGTCACTGACGCCGAGGCGATCAAAGCAATGAAACCGGCGTCAATATGTACCCAGCAATCCCGATAGTCTGCAAGGCGGAGTGAACTATAGGTGGGGGGCGTGTTGAAATCCAATATTTACAGAGAGATACATCAAGCTAGGGGGCTTTGATACTGTTTGGTCTGATTGATCAATGCACAAAAAAACCACTCCATATGGAGCGGTTTGTGTGTTCTCAGATTGGAGATCGAAATCAGATTGGACGAGTTGGAGGATTTGTATCGCCCGCGTCGTTGCTGCCCGGGCGTGGACGCCCGCCGGTGAATGGAGGAGCTCCGCCGCCGATCGTGCAGAATCCAGGTTGGAAGATTGCGCGGAACGCACTGATGTCGAAGAAGTCGATGATGCCGTTGTCATTAAAGTCGGCTCGAGCATCACCAGAGAAGTACCATTCAAGGAACAGGTTCAGATCAGCGGTGCTGACGACACCGTCAGCGTTAATATCTGCTGGGCACGAAGTATTGAATGGGTCACATCCGAGGAATGGTTCTTCGCCGACTTCATAGCCATAGATCCGGATACGGAAGGAAATCACTTCCTTCTCTTCGCGATAGTTGCTACCAGGGAGACCAAAGACGCCGAGGTCGTGGACATTGGGCACCGCCGGATCCATATCACTGGATGCTTCGCCCTCTTCATTTTCAGAGTCCGGCCCGAAATCGGTGAAGTCAAGAGACCAGTTACCGCCTGAGAGTTCTCCCCAGTGTTTGAAGGTTGTAAACTCGTGGCGGATCAGTGCCATTTGATCGGTGCCAAGAGTGCCAGGGTTGTAAACGGCTTCTCGTTCGTCGTCAAACGGCTCCTCTGAGAAGGAAGTACCCAGTGCATTTCTTGTGGTTGGATACGACAAGTTTGATGATGTTCCCCACGGGCTGGTCAGTGTTGTAAAGATATCGTTCCAAGCCAAACCTGTCGCGGTCAACTCCACCACGATTGCTTCAATCATGATGTTGTTTCGCACACATACGCGGATCTGAGTAACTGGTTGGGTAGGTGTGACGAATGTGCTGGTTTCGTCAACAACCGTAAACTCAGCATCTGCGATCTCGAGTGGGACGCGCGTTTCCTCCGCTTCTCCGACACCGCTGTCTTCATCAACGCGGCCTGTATCCAGCACAATGAGTTTCGGAGCCCCTTCCCATGTTTCAGCTTTGGTTACAGCGAGTTCGGCGTCAATGACACCGAAGCCATACTGATCGGAGTGGCGGATCGCTGCGAAGTCTCCACTTGGAGTTTCATGAAGACCTGTATTGATTTGCCAGAATGAGAAGACACCTGTCGCACCAGTTGGGGCGCCTGGGCCAATATAAATTCTGGTTGGGTCGAACTCAGGGAATCGGATCGCTGCCGTGCGGGTGCTGTCGTAAATACTTTCAAACAGAATGTGCTGAATATCTCGAATGGTGAGTGTCGGATTTGCTTCGAGCATCAGCGCGATGATTCCGCCTGCGATTGCGGCACTACTTCCATTGACTTGCGTGACATCCAAGAACTGATTGATGTCTGCGAGGAAGTCTGTAGTTTGATCAGGGATTTCGTCAGTCCCGTTTGCTGGGATCGCAGCAAAAATGCCTCGAGGCTCAGTGCCGCCATTGTCCCAGTATGACATCGCATTGGAGGTTCCCGTGTAGACGGATGCAAACACGCCTGGTCCGATTGCTTGATTCATGTCAGCAAATCCATCTTCGCCGACGCCATTGATGAGGAATGTCAAACGATCGCTCGCGAATGGATACATGTAGGTCTGGGCACGGATGTAGGTTGGTCCAAC